GAAACAAAGTGACACGACTGGAGATTTTTTAACCTTCAATAAAGTTATCTTGTTGGTGTCCAGTTTTTGTTTAAAATTATGGCATTTTTACTTTTTGATAGATATACTATAGTTTTAACAATTTGTAAACACTTTTTTTAAAATTATTTTCATTATTATTATATTTACCAGATAAGGTTAGTTAAGTTTACTGTTGGGAGACATCGCAAGTATGATAGGTCGGTGTAAATATATTCATATTCTGATGACTGACATCTTTATTGAGTGTTACTTTTATGTTTGTGTTATTCAAACAAAATATAATCATGATTTTGCTTTTTTAAATAAAAGCAATACTGACCTTATTGGTGAATGGTGATAGCAAAAGTTAAGTATGTCTCCATCATTTTACTTACAGTAGATCAGTGCAGGATTACTACATCGAAATGGTGTATTTAAGTGTTTTACACTCACAAATAAGAAACCTATTATTCTATAGGTATTTGAAGAACTTGTAGCATTCTGCCACAATTTAATTCTTTGTATTGTTAGCTAAACAAATGTTTAAACAACTCTATTCAATTATGTACTACAGCTGCCCAGTGTCTATATTTGAATATTTCATTGGGTGTGGGGGGTGGTGTCTAGTTTCGAAGAATTTCACTCCTCATCAGTGACCTTGGATAGACCATTCCAAGCTTTTACTTGTTGTTTCTAATTATAACTGCTTATGGCAAAGAGTTTCTCCATGGCCACAGCCAGTTCTTATTTCTTGTGGCAGAAAAAAAAATTTTCTTTGAAAGATGGATACAACTTCGTGAAGTTTACACAATATTACTTTTAGATGTTATTTCTTGTGATAAACAAGGAATTTTCTTTAAAAAATACGAACAAGTTCTAGACAATGTAACTTTCAAACATCCCCCCCCCCCAGTGACACAGCGGTACGTCTGCGGATTTACAACGCTAGAAACCGGGTTTCGATACCCGTGGTACAACTACAAAGAAACAAACGAACTTTCAAATGTTATATTTTGCGGCAAAAATATATGTATTTTTAAAAAAATAACTTCTTTAATTTCACATAGAATTACGTCACTTTGTTAGGACCCCCCTGAATCCATTCCTAGATTTAAGTTAACGGTAGAAGAAAACAAATATTTGGAAAATTTCATGTTTTGAGTCAGCTGGTGATTCATCTCAGACCTGTTATGATCATTTTTTTGTTTTACGAGGTGGATTTTAACTTGACTGACGACGTATGTTAATTAATTTAATGTTGGCGGTATAAATCACATTGATTGTAGAGTCTCTTCCTTTCAGTTTTTTTTTAATTTCGCGCAAAGCTACACGAGGTCTATCCGCGATAGCCGTCCCTAATTTAGCAGTGTAAGACTAGAGAGAAGGCAGCTAGTCATCACCACCCACCGCCAACTCTTGGGCTACTCTTTTACCAACGAATAGTGGGATTGACCGTCATATTATAACGCCCCCACGGCTGAAAGGGCGAGCATGTTTGGTGTGACGGGGATTCGAACCCGCGACCCTCAGATTGCGAGTCGAGTGCCTTAACCACCTGGCCATGCCGGGCTTCTTCCGTTCAGGGACGGCTAGCGCAGATAGCGCTCGTGTAGCTTTGCACGAAATTTAAACCCAACCTTTCAGAACGATTTCCTGCACTGCGAGCTAGCGACTATCTAAATCATACCAGAGAGTAAAAATATCACAATTTCAGCTAAACAAGTGCTGGTGGTTGAGCGGTAAACTCAGGGCTTTTAAAGGTAAAAATTTGAGATTCGAGCTCCTGAACCACGGTGCAGATAAATTAGTATGCAGGTATGGTATTAAACTAACGTACAAATATATATTTCAAAAATAAATATTTGAAAGCCCTTACCACACCCCTTAACTGTGTAACTTATATATATATTTGTAGAACAAGATCATTGATAGCATCTTGTTTGTAACGCATAGCCAGAAAACAAAGAGAGAGAAAAAAATAGAAGGGGGATTCAGTTTCGGGATTTCGTATGTTTTTCAAAATTACCGTTTTTTTTTGGTAATATTTTAAATATTTGTGTAGGTATGGCTCACAAGCTCTCCTGCGTATTGATGAATATTTTCTTCGACGTCTTCATCCAGCTTATTACTCACTCTGGGAAATTCTTCCCGTTGTCATGGTGACATCCGGAGAGAATCATCTCCCTGATTAACTGCACTTATGACGCATTCTATGGTTACAAGAAACCTTAGATCTTGATTCCGATGCGCAACTTGTTGTTCCTTTGTAAACCTTGATAAAGAATCCTATCTTTCCAAAAAATGAAAATAAACCTTGATAAAGAATCCTATCTTTCCAAAAAATGGAAATAAACCTTGATAAAGAATTCTAACTTTCCAAGAAATGGATGCATGTATAACTTGAAATTCGATCGATTATAAAATAAAGCCACAACTGATCTCTCGAGCATGCGCAGATTTATTTATATTTGATGGAGGCCAATAAGAAACAGTTTAAAACATTCCCCTCCGTCATTCTTTGGCTTTCCAGGTGTACCAATCCTCCTCAACTCAATTTGTCATTTCCAGTTTATAGCAATGGATTCCACAATAACACGAGAGTGCATGAAGCGTAATGGTGAAAAATTCCCATGTTATAATTCAACGACGCACATTTTTCTGCGCAACTTGTTGTTCCTTTGTTTATGTTTTCAGGAATTCCCATGTTATAATTCAACGACGCACATTTTTTCTGCGCAACTTGTTGTTCCTTTGTTTATGTTTTCAGGAATTCCCATGTTATAATTCAACGACGCACATTTTTCTGCGCATCGTGTTGTTCCTTTGTTTATGTTTTCAGGAATTCCCATGTTATAATTCAACGACGCACATTTTTTCTTTTCCATTTCTTGGAAAGATAGGATTCTTTATCAAGGTTTATTTCCATTTCTTAGAAAGTTAGAATTCGTTATCAAGGTTTATTTCCATTTCTTGGAAAGTTAAAATTCTTTATCAAGGTTTATTTCCATTTCTTGGAAATTTAGGATTCTTTATCAAGGTTTATTTCCATTTCTTAGAAAGTTAGAATTCGTTGTCAAGGTTTATTTCCATTTCTTGGAAAGTTAGAATTCTTTATCAAGGTTTATTTCCATTTCTTAGAAAGTTAGAATTCTTTATCAAGGTTTATTTCCATTTCTTGGAAAGTTAGAATTATTTATCAAGGTTTATTTCCTATTTCTT